AATGCATGTCAAGGTAGTAGTAGTAGTAGTAGTAGTAGCAGTAGTAGTAGTGAATATAAAGCAGGCGCATCACGGGGTTGCATGCTTGCTTGCGCACATTTTTTCGCTACTTCTTTTATACTGTACTCCTCACTTGTCCTCGTAAATTTTTTCGAATATTTCTTTGGCAAATTTCTTCTTAGTAAACTTTCGCTGTGTGCTTTTTTGCCTTTCTCCTTTGAATTCTCTCTTTACTTTTCTTTGCACTTTTTTAACTTTACTGCGGCACATTTCACTGCACTTCATAGTTGGCTGTCGCCTATCTTTGACATTTTTTTCTTTTTAAATGATTTTCACTTTCTTTGCATGCGTTCGTTGGAAAATTGCGATTTAACTTCCGCCCTTTTGTTTGCCTACAAAAAAAAACAAAAAAAACCAAGAAATAAAATAGGCTAAATAAAAGGCAGTTGAGCAGCTCAAGCGATGAATATTCAACACACAAATTTATGTTCGGAGGGCTCAGCGTACCAGTTCGCATACACATGTAACTTTTTGTATGCCCATTGTTGTCATTGAGTCTCTCTGCTCGCTTAAGGTGTGTATATTTCCTGTAACTGTACCTTTGGCTGTAATGTTCGTAACAGGCGCACAAAAGCTGGTAAAAAGCTTTTTATTGCATATTGGCACACGCAGACAGATGGTTGAGGCGTAGTAGCGGGGAGCTTGTTGGCGTTTTTTTATCCTAGTCACTTCGCACACAGGAAATTCTTCCAATTGGTACATCGCTGGAACTAGTAAGCTAGCAATAACTAGTTATGTAAAACTAACTGCTTTGAAGGATAAAACATCGCCTTGAATTGTTCGACCTAGTTGGCTACTAGTTTGAGAGTAGCATTTTGAGTCTCCGAGTGCCTAAGCCAAAGATTTGAGCTTGCAATTCACTTTAGAACTAGTAATAGACTAGCTACATATGAGTATTTCCAATAATGTGTTAATATTTTTAAGATAAACTATATTTTCTTCATAAAGATATTTTATACGTGCATTGTGGAGGTATTCTCAAGATTTAGATGCCAACTCATCCCATTCGCACATTTTTGCAACTTGTAAACAATTTATGGTTCTAAACAGATACATATGCACACTTATGTATAAATAACCAGGGCTCGAAAATAACTCCTAACCGAAAATCCATATTGTTTTTTCTCGGATACTTATCATATTGCGCAGTCACATAAAGGTTTCTCTCGGAAATTTATATTTCAATTCAAGAAATAAATCTCCATTACTGAGAGTTATATTTCAATTCTGGAAATAAATCTCCTTCGCTGAGATTTACCTAGGAGACTTCTCTGTAATAGTTGCTGGTTTTCGATGATTAAGTGAGAAGAATAATATTGGTCGAGTAGTGGGTTATTTTTACCCGGGTTGGCTGTTATCTTTATCCGGCTACCCGGATAGTCGGGTTTAGTTGGTCGTGGTCTCGGGTTGTGGGTTATCTTTATACGGGTACCCTGATATGGGGTTATCTTTATCCGAGTACCCGGGTAGGTGGTTATCTTTATCCAGGTACCCGAATAGATGGTTATCTTTATTCGGGTACTTGGATAGCGGTTTATTTTTGTTCAGGCACACGGATAGATAGTTATCTTTTTCCGGGTACTTGGATAGAGGGTTATATTTGTCGGGACCCGGGTAGTGCGTTATCGTTACACGGGTACCTGTATGTAGGATTTGTTTTTACCGAGTACCCGGGTAGGCGGTTATCGTCATACAGATACCTGGTACCAGATTATATGTGCCAGATTCCCCGAATAAGGGTTTTCTTTATCTGTGTACCCAGATAAATATTTATCTTTATCCGAGTACCCGGGTAGGTGTAGATTTTATCTGTGCACTTTGGTAGTGCGTTGTTCTTTTCCGCGCAACCGGGTAGAGGTTAATATGTGTATGCATATCCGGGTATCTGAGTAGCGGGTTATCTTTAACCCGATATGCGTTTAGAGGGTAATATTTATCCGGCGGGTAGCGGGTTACTTTTATCCGGGTACGCCGGTAAGAGCTATTATTTATTCGGCTACCCAGATAGGGGAAATCTTGATCCGGGCAGTGAACTGCCCAACCTGCCTGATATAATAGATCAAGAATCAAGTACAAGTTAAGTTGTTACATGGGAAATGTACGTATAACTACAACCGGAGGAGATTTAATTTTATTTCTCATTAATATTCCTCCTTGACTGAGAAGAATTTTTATTTTTCATTTACATTTCGCCTTGACTGAGAAAAATTTTTATTTCGCTTCGGTAAAGGTTTCCCTCTGAGAGCAACCAATAAAACATTGTTAAAAAGTTTCGGTTAACCTCCGACTGCTACTTTATTGCTCCTTCGATAAGAGCTATTATGCGAGCATTTTAATTGGTTAATAGTTATCTTCGAGCTCTGTTAAGAATGTGTTTATGACACTTTTCGCAGCATATTAGTAAGCAAATGACTAGTTCCTAACTAGTTACGAACTAGTATTTTTAGGGCCAGCGCATTCAAAATGCCAATACATTCAACAGCTTTCAGTTGGCCTTATTGCTTATTTAGGCACAGGCTTCAGCCGAATGCTTTCGCATGCATTTACGACTAGTTAGTTACTCGTTTCTATAAGTGAAATACCGAATGCTACAACTGTATGCATTTACGTTGCTGTGCGCTAATATTTACAATCCAAGCTACATACTAAGTCTGCACAGATACCATTAGCATCCTTTTGTGAGCTGCAAATCTATGTCACTCATACGCACCATACGACCTACAATCTATGTACATACATACATATGTTTGGATGACGACCAATGACTCTGCCAACTGTCATGTGCAGCGCGAAACGAGTGTGACATAAGAATTTATAGTTTTCGGTAAAATAGACTAAATAACTTTAGCAGTTTTAGCTGCCTAAGTACAAATCGGGTTTGCTCATTGAGTTAAGAATACACTTGTTTCAGCCATTCGTACTTTAGCTAATAAATTACTATATCTTCCATTGGTACAAAAAATCTACCGTTTTTTTTATCTGACAGATTTATAATCTGCTACATCAAAAATTATTAAGTCAGGTTATGTCATTTACCTTTTATTAGCCGCGCGCACATCATTTGTCAAAGTCTATGTGACAAGAGCGAGGATAAGTGCTGAGACGCACAGCTGGAGGACTTTGGCCGGGCCGTCAAGTAGTGCCTACGCAAGTCAACTCAACAATCTTTGGGGTATAAATTGCACACATACATACATATGTATATGTGTACGTACATAAATACATGTTTGCCCCATTCACACTTGACATTTCTAGTTGGGTGCGATGGCCCTACGGCTGCTAGAGACTGACTACTACATATTGGCTGGATGTTGACTGCTACATCTGATGAGCATATTTTTGTGCATTTCACTTGAAAATCCGCATAAACAACAAGAACAGCAGAAGGCGCACAAACAACACGCCGCCTACTAAGCAATGCATGCTTTTCATATATTCTTCATACATACATACATACATACATAGTAGTCATAGTTAGCCGCCTGCATTTGAATTGATTTGCTAAGCAGTTGCTTTGTCTGTCACAAAAAGCTGTAAATGCGTGTCGCAAAGCGCATAGCTCAGCAAATATGCAGCATTCGCCAGTGTGGGTAACTGATATCAAACTTGTTCTTTCTTTCGTTTTTGTGTGCTGGAGATGCATTTAGCCAACTTTTATCTATGTATCCTCTATTTGCCCACACAGCAGCAAAAACAAAAAAAAATGTTTGTGTGCTGCAATGTCAGTGGCAATGAAAAAGTTAATGCATATAAAAAATCAACGAATGACTCTATGCAAACTACGTGTAACTATTTGACGTATGCAGCAGCAGCTGGAAGGGTTGTAAAAGTGAAAACTTTCTGGTTTGACACTAATGTCAATATGAAGGTGAGTGATGTCAATAATGATGTTAGTTGATACACACATCTCTTCAGGGTTATTATGTTTGTTTTGACAGTGGCATTGAGCAGGTGATTTTAAAGCGCTTTAATATTTTTTTTTTTAATGCGGATGGCAAATGTGACATTAATATAATAGAATGCTTTTTTAAAGAGATATGCAGTCGACATTGCGCTTTTGTTAACTTTTGCCTTCATTTTGCATATTTTCTAAGTTAATAAGCAGAGATACACTTGAAAAAGTTTTAAAAATTGAAGCTGTAAAACTTAAAATTTTCTTTTTACAATTTTCTGCTAATTATTCTGATTGAATATTTTATTAACAGTGGAGGAATCGATATCGTAATCATTAATGCTTACTTTATCGATATTTTAGCGTTATCGTTATCGAAATTGTTATCGTTATTTTGCCGTTATCTATAAACTAAATGTTTCTCTCATATTTGAATTGTATCGCTATCGATATGGATATTCTAGTTTCTATCATTATTATTATCGATATTATTATTGTTATCGATTTCTAGGTTTCAAAATTTTTTTTAGTATATAAAAAAATTTAAAGGTATCGATAACGATGTCGGTATTGCTTCATGAGCATGCGGTAATACCACATTATCGATATGCTGTCGATAAAGTAAATTATCGAAATAGTATTTCATATCGTTGTCGATTTATAAACCTACTCGCAATGCTAACTGTTATCGGATTTTTTACGTACAAAATATGTACATATATGTTGTTTTATCTTTTGCTTTTTTATCGATATCTTTTTAGATTTTTATCCCTACTCTCTTTTCCTAATCATTTATCTTAAGACCATCGTTTCAGATATCAATAAAAAATACAAGCTTTCGATAAAATTTACTGGTTACTGGTATCGCCTTAAAGCGTATTCAAAATTTTAATTTTATCGTAGTTATGTATGCATTTTTTGATTGCATAAAGCTCAAAGCTTTTATGATTTTAGTCGAAATCTGCACCAAAGCACACCCTTTTTTATTAAAATAATATCTACTTTATCTTTTGAGAATAAAAATTAGATTTAAAATTGATCAACTTACATCTGTCATCTTCATCGAGGAATATGTAACTTATTAATATGGCGCCTAAAATACCAAGTAACTGAAAGAAAAAGAGAAACAAATATGAGAAGCGTTATTTGATATTTTTTTTTTATTTAAGATAAGTAATTTTTTTTTTGATATACATACTTATGTACATAAAACTTGCAAGAGCGAAAATATGTTTTTTGTTTTTAGATAAAATTTAAATGAATTTTTTTGTACTAAAACTTTTTGTTTTTTACTTTTTTTATTTGACTTACCGCTAAAGCACATTGCACACCCGATTGTACTACTTCGACTATAGTATAATCTAATAAGCAATCATCCACACGTTCCGGACGTATGGGACGAAATGGATCGTCTGAGGTGATATTCACTGGATATGTTGGCTTGCAACCATAACCGTTCACCTCGAACCAGGAGACGCTACCGGTGCCCAAATTGAGCAGATCGCTGTCCTGCGGGCGGAGAAGTGTGAAAGAAAAATAAATGGAATGTGTAAGAAAAATTTGACATATGTATATATGTAGGTAGGTACATATGGACAGGAAAAAAGTATGTAAAGGCAAATTCTATGAGATTATTTCAATATGAATATCGTCAATCATCAATATGAAAGGAAAGCCATATTTTTGGAAAAATGTGTTTTTAAATATTTGTTTAGCTGCTTTTAATTACGAAAATCCAAAGCCAAATTTTCTCTCTTTAGCAGACCCGTAATCATTTCATATATAAATGTTTACTTCTGCAAATTTTCACATTTTTCAAATAGGGCCTTTTGCATTGATGTTGACGGTTTAAATATTTTTTTTCTAATAAATCATTTAATAATATAGATAATAAAAACATGCAATGCTCAAATTTTAAACAAAAAATTATATAAAATATTCACATACCCGATCCAGTATGCCTACATTCAGGTAAAAGCATATCAGAAACGCATTCCAACCAATCCAAATGAAGCTCCATACTAAATACTGAAAGCGGGAAGAAATTTGAAACAAAGTTGAAATTTTATTTATTAACTATTAAAAAATAATTTGTATTGTACCTACATATATCAATTTTGTTTAATCAGTATATATATAAATATGTATATATTAAACAATTATGTAAATTAATAAAGTTTTATTTTTTCTACTATGCATGTATATTCCTGTTCTACTTTTTGCTGCAATCTCATTCAAAATGTGTCAATACGGAGTTCATAATAAAGCAATAAAAAAATTTAGTGCATAAAACCAAACAACTTATGCCACTTCTTATCGCTAAGCACCAATAGTTGAACTGCAATGCAGTAAATCTTTGTTTGCCAATCGACACCCTGGCGTATGCGTAATCTCTATAAGGGCAGGGGAATACCTACATAAATCATTGTATCAGCAAAAAAGCATACTTAGCGATAAGCTTTATTGCTCTTTTTTATTAATTTTGTGTTTGAGAAAAGCGTACCGTAATCGTTTTGTTTGGCATAATGCATAATGTCGAAAATCATATTTCCTTTTATACATATATACATACATTCATACGTTGAGACCGATATTGATAAGATAAGAGTAAAAAACTAACAAAAATAAGAAGGGGGGAAAACGAAAAGCAGAGGAGGCGCCATAAAATGGGAAACACCGCAAGTACAGTTTTTATAGTAATTAAGGGCAGATGCTATTACACATATTCATATCTACACAGCCGTGACAGATGTGCGCTGATATGTAATATAACAGGGGAAGCGAATGATATTATTACACGCAAACTAAGTATATATGGGGCACTCCAACGGGATGGGTGGGACAATTTAATTCGCTTTTATCAATCTTTAAGTAATTTCCCTTTAGCTATTAATTTTAAAAGTTTCAAAATGTTAACGTATAAAATTTACACAGAAATTAGACGGAACAACGATGCACAGCGGTCAATAAATGGAATCTAATGTTCATAATTCACTGCAGCCTTCATTTCTCAATCAATTTGATTAATTTTTTTTTAAATGAAATCTAATAAAATTTGCAACAGACTAGTTGAGTCCAATTTTCGAATTTTTATTTATTTATATTAAATTTTGTAGTGCAATGTGCAGAAAAACTGCCAATTTTGACGAAAATCGATTCTACCGTTCCAGCTAATAAAAGTTTCATAATAAAAACTAGTTACAACCAATTGTAGGGTTCTCCCAAAATGAAAAAAATATATATAGAGTAATAATTTGAAATGTTTAAAAATGTTTCACCAAAGTTTTTTTTTTGGCTTTTATAAAAATTTTGAGTATGCAGTTTTATAGATCAATAAATTTTAGTATAATAAAGTGACTGCACTTTCCTCTAAAAAATTGATTATAAGCAAATACAAAATCAAAAGTTGGGCCCAACTAGTCTCTTGTAAATTTTATTAGCTTTCTATAAAAAAAAAAACAAAATTAATCAAATTGGTTGAGAAATTAAGGCTCCAATGAATTATAAAGATTAAATTCCATTTATTGAGCACTGTGCGATGGCACCTGCATCTCTGAGTTGATGGTTACGTTTCCCAATTTTAAACGAACTACAAAAATTTCCGCCGCTGTGGTGTAGTGGCGCTAGCATTCCGAAGGGTTCAAGCCCAGTTCAACGCAACATCAAAAAAATAAAAAAAGGGTTTTTTCTAATAGCGATCGCCTCTCGACAGGCGTGGCAAGAGTGTATTTCTGCCAAGAAAAACAGCTTCTCACAAAAATGCAATCGCCGTGTAAGCGCCAATCTATTATTTTTATTATAAATATTTCCATCATAGCGTCTTTCTCGTATGTAGCTAAAATAATAGTAAGGTCCATTTTAAGTTTTAATGGCATTATTATATTTTACGGTTTAAGAAAAATACTCTTTTATCCACTATTGAGGATACATAGTTCGTGAGTAAAACCCTGGTTTATACTGGTTTAATATGAGTATTTATTATACTTTTAATAAAGGAACCTTATTTAAACAATGGGAAGCTTACTTATTTAAAAGTTAGGTTCACAAAAAAAAGTTTTGTTGCGACGGCCAGCACTTTCAATAAGCATTTCTTTTAAAGCTGACAACTTCTTGCCAAAAATAAATTATTAAATAAATTAAAACATATGAAATACTATAGAAGTGGTCTCGGAATGTATCAATTTTTCCTTATGAAAAATACTGGTACTAAAAATCAGGGACGAAAAATCGTTTCATTGAGAACCGTGATTGTTAATTTTAAGACAACGGAAAGCTGGTTCATATCAACTTCCATATCGTTTATCATTTTTTGTGCAGCAAAAGGCCTTGTCTTAAGTCTTTCCTTTACTTAATTTGCAAAATAATCTGTCTGCTCTTTTTTGGTTGATTTTAATACTCAAACATCTCAAACTAAAGCAACGCTATGACAGAAAGCTTGTTCTCGCTCTCGTTCTTCACGAATAGTTCGGAGAAGATTTGTTCCCGTTTCATTCTCTGTCAGAAAGTACCTGACACTTTAATTCTAAAATTGTTCTTAGAGAGAAAGTTCTTTGGATTTTTTTCTCATTTTGCTCGTTGCCAGAACGTTCCGGATACTTTTATGCCCAGTTTGTTCTCTTCAAAATGTTCCCGCAGGTATTGTTCGAATTTTGTTCTCTTTGGGAATGTTTCACAGGGTTTTATTCTTAAATAATTTCCGTGGAGAGCTTTCTCGACAGTTTTGTTCTCTCTTTCGTTCTAGTGAAAACACTGTCGAAGATTTTGTTCTCATTTTAGTTTTAGCTTTTAAGCGTTCTTGAGAACAAAACTGCGAAAACGAAATTAAGTTTCGATCATACTTTTTGTTCTAGGTCCCTACTAAAAATTTGGAAAATTAATTTTCGGTACTTTCGGTAAAATAAATAGTTAACAACACATCATTTTTTTTTTAGTCTAATTCTATTAGTCTAGTTGGTAACAAAGGGCTTTTATCTTATGCAAACTATTTATAAAATGTATGACTTGACCAACTGTGTAGATATGCACAGTCTATTTTTTATTATTTGCATTGTTTGAACGAGGCTAATCGAAATAGCAAAAGCAGCATTTATCAGAGTTGAAGCAGGGCTCACATATAAACTCTCTTTGTTATTATTTATCAAGCGGTTGCTTATTATGGTTGCCTTTAGTGCTACTAATGCGCTCTTATTCGTATCTACATACATAAAAATTTAAAAATAAATATGTATATGATAAGAAAAATTGATAAACCCGTGCAGTGCAATATTACAACTTTGTTGTTTTTTTGTTCGACAGCTACACAATCAGTCTTTTTTAGTTTAGTGGCTTTCATTTATCAGTGGGTACTTCAGTTGCCTCTTGCAAACATTTAATAAAATTTATTTATCTAGTTTTATTGTGTAAATTCATATGAAGTATGTATGTACGTATGCAAATTTAATTATCGATGGTCCTCTGGAATAGCGACACAATGCAAAATTCAAAAAATAAAAACTCTTATAATTTTTTATTTTTTTTATTTTTTTTTAAGATAAGTGAGACATAAACATATATGCCTATTTACATATACACATACACATTTCGACATATACATACATATATTTAGGAACACTCGAATACAATATAAACAATTGTTTTTGTTATCAGTTAGTTATCGCCCCTTGATGACGGAAGTTGTTTGAAATGTGTGTTTGCTTTTGTGATATCTTCACTCGGCTACATATTTATGCTTATCTACATAAATACTATTTATATACAACTTTGATATCTTTGTTTAACAAAGCGAGCAATGATAGCGTGGTAAACATTTATAAATGTGTAAAGGTGAAACAGAAAGTGGAGAGTTTAAAAATCTGTCAAACAGAGCAGCTAGCGTGAAATGCATTCAGGCTTTGCACAGTGGTTCAAAATTGACATTTGTATTTGATTTTTGATTTTTTTCTATGTTTGTATTATTGTGCACTAAGCGCAGAAAACTTTGCAATTTTGAGGAAAATCTATTCTCCTATTCCAGTTAATAAATGTTACATAATAAAAACTAGTTTAAAACAATTGTAGGGTTCCCCCAAAACGAAAAGAATCACAAGAAAAATTTAAAATGTTTTATAAAAATTTTATCAAAATTAAAAAAAAAAATTAGTTTCTAGTAAAATGTTGGGTATGCAGTTTTGCACTTGTAACTTGCACCTTATTATAAAATTTAATGATTTATAAAAATTCATACCCAACATTTTCATAAAAACCGAAAAAATAAAAAATAAAAAATTTTATTTTGGGGAAATCTTTTTTTAAAACATTTTTTTTTCCCCCCGTTTTAAGAGAACACTACAATTATTTTCAACTAGTTTTTATTATGTAACATTTACTAACTGCAGCGGGAGATTCGACTTCCTTCAAAATTGCTACTTTTCTGCACTTTGCACTAAAAATTTTAATTCAAACAAACGAAAATTCAAAAAGCGGACTCAATTGGTCTCTTGCAAATTTTATGAGCTTTCCTTTAGAAAAAAAAAAAAATAATAATAATAATTAAATTGAATGAAAAATTAAAGCTCCAGTGAACTGTGAACGCAAAATAGCAATTTTGAACCACTGTGCAGTGGTGGCTGCCGTTTTTCTACGCTCACTGTAGTTTTAGAAATATTGAAGACTCAACTGCATAGGATTTTCAACCCCAAACAAAGCCTTCTTGTTTTTGCTTTTCTTTTTTAATTCGGCAGGAGTCGGTGACCTTCAGAGGTAGAATAGACAAACCAAGAAGTATAAACCATTGAGTAACGCAAGGCGGCGCTTTGCGTCTTACACTTTGCAAGACTTTTCCTAAGCTCCTGCAGCCGCCTCAGCGTGTTTCAATGACCCCCTACACCGTTGAGTGAGTGGTCACTAGCATGAACTGCATTCGTTCTTCACTGCGCGAAATCTGCGAATCTCCGTCGTGAAGTCTACGGCACCCATATTCGCCAGATGCATAAGTGAGAAGACTGGAACTGAACATACGAGCTCGATGGCGCATAAATCCCAACCACGATTCTCACAATAATTCTGGGTTCAACGATCAACAGCCTTCGCTCGTTGTCGGTCAATGCAACGACAATCAATAACATGTTGGGGAAAGTCGAAAAACCGGAATAAAGTCTGCAAGTAGTTTGATGGCAGCACATGGGTGAGAGACAAGGAGAGATCATGCTCGCCGCGTATAAGGCTGGCGAGTAATCAGTGTTTCCATCATCATGCCCACAACAAAATTATCGACAAAGCCAACACTCCGTGCCTCGAGAAAAGGCAGATAAACAAGCTGGGAGGAAAAAACACTTATCCAGCAAACAACCCACTGAAAGTGGGTAGACTACCTGGAAAGTTTGCACATACTTCTTTCGGAAATACCTGGCATCCGAAAAAGTTCGATTTCTACAAATATTTCGAGTCGTTCGTCACCAAATGAAAAATTCGTTAATCAAAAGCTCTATTTCGTACCAGAAAGGTGGTATTCGCGGGTGTTAAAGCTAGTCTTAGTGGATGTGGAAATACGATTACAAACCTTTTGAATCTTTCCTAAAATGTGTAGTAAAAGTCTTACACTGTTGCCTAAACAATTAAGTGTTTGAAAACCTATTTCCTCAATGAAGGAGCAAAAATATACCTATGAATCAAATGCTACGAGTGTAATATGTATGTATGTATGGCTGTAGTTAACAACGTATTTCTGTGAAATATTATTAATATCTCTTGTCCATATTTTATAAACTCAACAAATATATATTTTCTTAGTTAACTCAGCCAACTTCTAACACTTGAAGTTAATCTCATACCATAGATGTATATGTACTTTGCATAAGTTACCATATTTTTAGACAATGCGCTATTTTCCGTCTAAAATAGAAATAATGATTTATATTGTTCTTGTTTATTTTTCTTTTGGTAATTGATTATTCATGCGTGTTAGCATCTACGATTAACGAATATACACAACGATATCAACGATAACGGGGGGGAATCAAAACAGCTGTCCATCGTTAAGTCAAAACGTGCGATGCAATAAACAATCAAATGAATGAAGGTAGACAGCGGAAAGCGCGCAAAGAGGTTACTCGAACTGATTGAGAGTTATTAGCAGTGGCGGTTTAAGCAATGCGTGTGTGTGTGTGGGGTATAGAGCGTAGGCACGTGTTTGGCTAGAAAATACGCGCAATGCGGCAAATTACAATACGACACTTGATATGCAGACGAAATCAATAATAAATGAATTTCCATACACTTGCACTGTGAGAACGATTTAGGCATAAGCTTGGAAATATGTGGATTGATTATCGATGATTACGTCATTGAAAATGTGCGCTGCAGCTCGAACTTCTAGGTCAAATAATTATGAAAAACGTTACCATTTCAAGTGTTTGTTTATATTTTTAAGTTAAAGCAACCACATTGTTTGAACATTTCAATTTCATACTAGCTGGTTTTTCATGAAAAGAATAGTAATTAAATAAAAATATAATCGATTACATGGAGCATGCGTGGAGAATAAATTGAAGCACTTATCCGCTTGGTGAATGCACTTTTGCCTCTTTTATATCAAGAAAACTTTTATAGCCATATTTTTTAGTTAAGTGACACACTGCCACATTTTGAAAGCCCTTCTTCTTCCACATAACTGTGTATTTGTAGCCATTAAAAATTATGAATATCAAACAGGCGAAAACTAGGCAATGACAAACTACTTTTATGTTCATACTTATAAATGTTACAACGGTTTTCTAACTTTTACATAATCAAAAAAAAAATATGCATGCAGGCACTTATTGTACCTACCGATATCACCGAACAAATTAGAGACTTGCTAGTGCGTCCATAAAAATCTAATTCTGTTTGGTTTTGTTTATTAAAAGCAAATAAGTAAATGAAGATAAGTTAAATGATTATTTGCCTGGAGGAGGTGAACCACTCGGCGACCTAATCGGTGAAAGGATATACATATAAATTTAAATAATATTTTATACGTTCTGTGTTTTGAACAGCTACACATTTTTGTGCAATTCTTAAATTTTACCAATTTACCAAAAATTCACGTCCAATTTTTAACCCACCAAAAATGATTGTTCGTGGAGAGATACAAAGATTTGCTAATGCTTTCAAATGCTCAAAAAATGATGACTAGGTTTTAAGTGACCAAAAATTGATGTCCAAATTTTAAATCACAAAGAAAAAAAATTACCATTTTTTTAACCACAAAATTATTAGCTATGTTCATTAGTTAGTTAGCCAAAAATTCATAACTAGCTTTAAATTAGCAAAAATTAAAAAAATACTTTTTAAATAACAAAAAATTATGTTAACTCAAACTAAGGTCGGCTTTTTAAACAAATAAAAATATATGTCCAGTTTTTTAAATTTATCTGTTTGCCAAATACTACAATGAAAATAAAACATACATATAAATTAATGCAACTATTGCATTGAACCCTAGCGATTACAGCATTAAAAATAAGTAAAAAAAAATATATATAATTTTTCAACATTTCCATTCTACTCACGGTTATTATATATTTTATTCTAAAATGATATGCTCCATAAAATCCCAATATGATGAATATTATGTGAAAGAAGTTGACCAATATGGGCGCCCACATGTATCCGAGAAAATCGAATACTTGGCGTTCGATGATTGTTATCTGTAAAAAAAAAGGGGAAATAAAAAACATTAAGTCATTGGTCAATTTAAATTGTACAACTTGCTGTATGCATCATTATACATACATATAAGTACATACATAAATGGCATATCAATAACTTCAATTATGTACAATAACACTAATATATGTATTGAGTTCCACAGTTGAATACCACAATAGAGCAATGTAGTGTAAATGGAATTGCGTGCTGTTATATAAGAGTTCCAATTGAATGCATGCGAACGTTTTTATGAACGTTGTATGACCAGCACTGACCTAGTAGCCTCAATTGCAACACTGCAACATTTTACGCACCACAAAGTCATTAACAGCATACACTAAGGGAGACAAGCATATATGTAACTTTACGTCATACATACATATACTATTTATACATAATGTACATACTTACATAAGTATATATGTACATAAATATATACTTATATACATATATAGAATATGCACGAAATGAAAATGGTTCGTCTTGGTTCTAATGTGTTCATTGGTTTGTTATTTATTATGGTACATACATATATGTATTTAATTGAATTTAATTAGTAAACCCTCTGCAGCGCCACGATACCGAAGTATTGAAAAGAAAGCAATTAGAACCAGTTGAGTCAATCGAAAATGTGCAGAAAAAATTTAATTTAAAAACTCAATACAAACTAGAGGGCTGCATGAATTCATTCAAACTTCTAGCCAAACAGAGTACTGTACATTTGAATATTTTACTTCACATACAAAAAACTCAGCGTTTGGAATTTTGTAAGTTATGAATATACATTTTGTTTTATATGTTTTACCTTCAAATGGAAGAATGTGAATGAATGAATAGAAAACATTCAAATCATTCAAACTCATTTCGGTAAAAGTTTTTTTCTACAAACAAAATTTTTCGTATATAATAGGAGCGCAGCAATATATACATACATACATATGTATGTTTGTACATATGTGCATAGAAAAAATATTTTTGGATATTCATACAAAAAATTGTCATTTATTTCAATTTAATTTATTTTCACTTTGTTTGAATATTGTAATGTCGATACAAATATCAGAACAGCTATTCACTGAAATTCAAAAAAATTTTAAGCCAAAATCATTCATTCGTTTTGTATATGAATAATTCATAAGCCGTTTTGAATGCATTCATGCAGCCCTCTAATACATACCTACTCGTATCTAAAGAAGGAGATAACAGATTCTAGAAAGTGAGTAAGTGTACTTAATTGAATGCATAGCTGTAAATTGAGACTTTAGAAAAGAGGTTTTAATAAAATATATATATATTTTCACTGCAGTTAGCTTATAAGCTGTAGTCACCATAGCCAACTGTTAGAGGTGCGTACTAAACTCAGTGTAAGCCGGGATCGATTCCTAGTCCGAGTAATGAGTTTGGCGCTCACATTTTTGCTAAGTTTATGGCCATGCGTCGAGATGTTACAACGCAAACGGAGGCCACTTCCGAACGGCAGATGATTTTTTTAGAAGCCTTTTCATTTCATAAATATGCACGAAGGTTTGCCAGAAGCCTGTCACTGATTATCGTCAATTGTATATGTTCAGTTGTCAAATAGCAAAAAATTTATAAACAGTTTTTAAATTATAAATAAAAATGTCTAGTTTTTAAATCACCGAAAATCTAAAAAATATATTTTTCAGTTTAAATTCCGAAAAATAAATGTCCAACTTTTAAATTAAGAAAAGTGTATGTAGAGCTTTTAATTAACTAACAAAAAATTTGTCCAGTTTTAACGTCGCAAAAATCGATGTCCTGTTTTTTAAATGCCGAAAAGTGCATGTGCAGTTTTTTAAACCAACAAAAAATTCATATCAAGTTCTTATGTCCATCTTTATATTAAAAACAATTTATGTCCAGTGGTTCTTTTTTTTAGTTATGTGGTGACAATCGAGAAAAATTCACTTCCATACCTAGATTGAGTGCCTTGAGTGCGTCCACTTGGTCATTCACACTTGGCACTCGCCTTGCACTCAAAACACACACCTTACAATTTGCACACACGTTTTGCACACGCTTGATAATTGGTGCTTGTTTGCAATACGTTTGTCAGATGCGTGCTATGGCGCAATCTACACTTGCATACATTCATACCTTATATTTATGCATATACAGAACATGTTTACATATAAATATGTACATACACACATATTTACTACAAGTTAAATATATAGAAGTATAGGGCCATGTCCATGGCAACATACATACATAAAGGGTATTCATGATCCGGTGCATATTGTCTAGCATGGTGCATAGATAGCATAAATGGAATGTCATGTGTTCATAGACAGTATGCGCCGGATCGTGAATACCCCTATAGTATGTTAAGAAGCAAAAAATTAAATCCACACACCAAAGACTAATGTATGCAAGTACATATATCTACACTGTTCGGCCAAACTTCTGTGTCATTTTCTAGCATTTGCTTCTTATTTCGCTTGCTATTTTGCTCTTAGTGTTGAGAGTAGTAATTGAAACTAATTGACTCGAAGTGGATGATGTGATTACTCTACTTAGCTGAGTAAAAGTCTGTGAAGTTCGTACGAATGTGTATGTGTAGTTTTTTTTTGCGATATATGTATGTCACAACCGTATTTTTGAAACAAGAAAGAAGGAGAGAATATTGCAACAAGGCAAGTGAGCACAAATATAAGAACGAAGACGAATGCGAATGCGAATACGAATGTGAATGCGAATATGATGCGGATAGTAATAAGAATAAGAATCGGAATAGAAATTGAAATAATAGGGGTAGTAGTTGGAATAAAAATAGTCATTGGGATAGTCATGGAATAGGAATAGGAATAGGAATAGGTATAGGAATCGGAATAGGAATAGGCATAGGAATAGGCATAGGAATAGAAATATGTCTTTGTGGCTTTCTTGGTAGCCATTTTGAGACCTGAATTCAAGTTATGTCTTTTATTTAGTGGCACCGCTAGATATGTTGCCTATTTTGAGAACTCTGTCTCCGTATTTGTCAATTTAGGTTTCTCCTTAATTCGATCGAAATTGTTTGCTTACAATAACATTTTAAGATTATCCCATAAATTAAAGTCCTTTAAGTTCAAAGAATAAATAAACATGGCATTCAATTATAGATGTGTTTGTGTTAATAAAATATATGAATGCACATCAACAGCAAATATAAACCAGTGCATAAAGCAGTAAATATGTACATATATATATATATATGAGTGTAAACCTATGTGCAAGCAATGCATTCATTTTTCATTATAACACTTTCATGTTCAAATACCACCAATAAATATTGCAACAGATTTAAAAGCGATTAAAATGCAAAACAAAAAAACACTGTTTTCCTTTTTATTCAGCAACAATTAATGGCCACATGCAGACATTGAGGTGACCACAAAATGCCTGCCACCTGCCACAAAAGCATGCCGCCACACGCACGCACACCCACACACTTAGAATCACATAATCTGCACACAACCACACAGCCCACAAATGATCCGCAGCACCAACTGCGCTTTATGATTAAGTTGCCTTATGCGGTGGATGGACGCAATCTATCGTTGTTTCGGTATAATTGCAACGAGCTTAGTGCAAACTTTTACTCAACACATGCAGCCAATGTACATATAGCCAACATAAATGGACATGGGTGCCTAAGCTCAGCTGCTTACAAACTCCCACTTACGGTGCTATCTATTTCGCCTGCAGCACATGTGTGTGTGTGTGTGTGTGCATGCGTGTGTGTGTGGTCACAGTTGGTCGCGACCACTTGGTGAGATTTTCCATTTTCACCATTTCCGGTACTAAAATCTGTAAATGTTTTTTTTTTTTGCGATTGGCGCAAAAAGTTGCAAGAAACAGCTGGAGTTTTGGTCGGCTACTTTGTTTGAGTAATGGTGTGAGAATGTGCAAACAAACCATGAATTCAAATTTAAGTGAATATGCATGGCTGTGTCTTTGTGTTGTTGCACATGTGCTGCTGCGACAGTTAACCTTGACCGAACACATCTGAAACATTTGTATACGTATACAGCAGACATATCCGTATGTACATGTGTATGCAGATATATCCAGCACAAGCGAAGTTGCGAGCCACGTGGTCAAAACTTTACGGCTTTTGGTAGTGACATTGTGGCACAGTGGGGTGAATATACTTCGAGTGAAAATCTTTGGTGCAAATTTTGAAACTAATTTGGACTATTGCAATTATTTTTGGAATTTTCGAAAAAGTTTCGAGCAAAGTTTACTGAAAAGGCTTACTAAAGCGTCAACTTCAGAACTGTACGAAATTTTGGATAAGAGAATTCTAAGCACAGTCTATTTAGAATCAAAGTGGGGAAGCATTTAGCTGGTATTTCAATATTTTTAGAAATTCGAGGACCCAGATCATTTTTATTATCACAAAACAAATATTAAAATTCATCCTAATCCAGGCTTGTTCAGGCTCATTAGTCTCTAATTGGTCTGCTCGCGGCGGAATTGCTCTTAATCCAGGAAATACTGAACGCCACTTTTGCCCTCTGACCGGGTCAATTATTTGGGCGTGATCTTCGACAGGAAGATATTCTAGAAGAGAAATACGCAGGAGCAAATAAAAAGGTCTCAGGGATGCCGTACTACTTCTAGCACCTAACGGATACGGAGCAAGGTAACAATCCCGTCCGCCATTATGCTAAGTAACACTAGTTTCCCCTTCAGCCAAAGATCTTTAGAAAGTGTAACTTCACCACTAAGCTGCGTAGTACCGCTAATTTCTTCGTAGTCCGGTGAACGAAACATACCAAATTAGTAGATATGAGGCCACCTTTCCAATACAAGAATTACCGAAAACGGTTCACGGTGTTCAAAGTTATCAGGTAACATACATAAAACCAAATATAAAAAATCGAATGAATTGATAACCTATCTCGGTAAAAAATTATCGAAACCTCTTTATAGTATTCATATAATAACTATTTTTAAGTTTACATATCATTTCTCTTGATTTATTTGTTTTTATTTTTTTTTGCCTCAATAAAATCCGAAA